TGTATTTTACAAAGAAACTCCTCAGGAATTGTGCTTTTCACTTTGGTATTCAACGAAATGAATATGAGTACAGTCAACTCTTAACCAAATTAAATATAAAATCATTGAAAGATAGAAGAATTTAAATGTACTTGAGTTTTCTCTTCTAATTATTAAATAGTGAGATAAACTGCCCAGAACTACTTCAACCGATAACTTTTCATATCAAACGAAAAAAATACGAGAAATCCTGTGGCTGGGAAATCAATATCATAATAACTCAGATCTGTTCAATGTCACAGGTCTTTAAGAATAAATCGAAAAGGCTATAGCGTTCTCGAAGCTTTTCTTTATTTTACCATTTTTTTTGCTGAGGAGAGTGGTGTGATAACTGCTACCTAGGACCCTCCGAATTATTTTTTAGCTTTCAATGCATTATCTACATCATCATCTCTTTCAATGGAACCGTTCAATATAAAACTTCTTCTCTTCTCATTTTCCTTAGGTTGCTGTCATTCGCGTAAATTATAGTGGATTGATTTATGATTTGACAACCGTTACCATTTGGTTAGACTCTTTCAGTTTACTATCGTGCCATTTTATTTCCTTATCAATAATGAACGAAATGTGTGTTTTCCGTTATTTTAACACCTCGACTCGTGTTTCGATGACCAAGTGATAATCTTCAAGAGGAAGAATGTGTACAAATTAATAATTCATGTATGATATTGTAGGTGACTGAAGTGTTTTATTTTAGCCAATGGAGGTGAAGAACCTAATCCTCTGCCTTGCTTAGTTTTCGTTGGACTTTATCAGCAACTGAAGACTTAATAGGAATATTTACGTTAACAAAATTTGGAAAAACTATTTAATTGTATCTATATCTACTGTTCATAATTGAACTTCCTTGAGAATTGAATAATTATGTTTTGTTTATTGCTATTTGGTCGAAAATAATAAAATATTTTCAACACGCTACTTGGTGAACATCATCTTTTAATACTCTTGATAACCATTGAAAATGTCGCTTTCAATGACAGTTGTATAAAAAATTTGTTACTATTTTTCCACTTCAGTAAATTTTTTTCATTTTTTCCAGATATATGCCTCCAGTAACACCTTCAATATGGAAGACTACCCGCCTTGCAGATCGTTTCAGTGACGTTTGCCCACAAAATTTACCCGATATCAGTAACCGATCAGAAGCATTATTGGAGTTCCCAAAAAATCGGTTGCTTTATTTGGAGAAGATTTTGCCTCTCCTTGCCAATCAAAGTGAAGACTGTCTCTACCTCAACCTTTATGTGCCAAGAACTGGTGAGTCACGGAAATATTCACTATTCATTTTTTTCACATTCATTTTTTCAACTCCGTACAGTATACAGGGCGTTTCCTAAGCAAGGCACGAAACTTCAGACGATGATTTGTCAGGTCGTTTTAAGAAAAAACGTTCCTATGAACATTTGTCCGGAGTTACTTCGTTTCTGAGGTACAGGGTGTTGAATTTTAAAGAAGGACATTGCCAGAACACTTGGTGACACGATTATCGTCAAACATAAACCAGTCCGTTTCGTCTTTGACCAGTGATAAAGAAAATATTTCTAGAAAATGAATAATAATTCAAATATCGAACAACCAAAGCCATAGACAGGGTCAAAGCACAGAATAATTGTTTACTATTCTGTGGTCAAAACTGTAACTTGTATTGTAACAAAACTGTAACAGTACAACATGAAGCAAAGTCAACTACATCATCGTAGTAATTAAAAGTGTTGAGAATTCAATTTCTTCTTATTCTGATTATGTCATTATTCGAATCTTTGAGGAAATAAAAGTTAGTATTTTATTTTTCGAGAATATGGTTGAGAATATGGTTGACTCGTCACAGAATTAAACATGACATATATCTTAACAGAGTAATTCCATGTGATGAAGCATTTAGAATGTTACATGCAAGATTATGTTAAACTGGGAGTTCTAATGAAAATGCAGGTAGTGAAAGACCAGAAACTGTAACATCGCCTGAAGTAGAAGAAGCTATACTTGATGCGATAGAAGAAGATCTTTCAGTTCTAAATAACTGTAGCAAAGTTCAACCAAAAAGGTTGACACATTCAAGGAGGTGATTCCTCATCTGAAAAAAGATAGGATCTTTCATATAAAGAAACTTCATTGGAGTATTCCTTAACAAGATACAGCTCCTCAAAGGGGGTACATAAAATTTGTATAACAATTATTTTCACAAGCACTGAAAAAGTTACGATATTGAAATTGACCTGACGTTTTGTACTACCAAAAAGACACTTAGCCAGTATAGTCTAGTTCACATGTACTTTTTTTTGTAACATTTTTCAGCCCTGTCCAAAAATTACGACCAAGGTGTCATTCGATTCGTATTTTTGCCTAGAAAGTTTGAGGAAAGGTCCGAAAAAGCGCCGAAACAAAAGTTATAAACAATTAAGTGAAAAAAAATGGGGCTTTAGTTTTTTCTTAATATCTCGGAAAATATTCAAAATTTTGGAAATTTCTTAAATACTTGCTA